AGCCACCAGGCCTCCGGGGTCCCGCAGCCGCCCGCAGGCCGTTTCCGATGCATTTGCATCCTTGAAGAGCATTTGCAGAAGAGGAAGGAAAAGATGGGTGAGGAAACATATACTCATAGCTCTTCCTCCCACAGTGAGAAAATGCTTCGAAAGCTAAACTACTGCGAAATGATGGCCATGTCTGTGATCGCACCATTCGTGTCCAGGACAAAATTTGCCAGGTACTAGCAGTTTGCAGTGATTTTTTTCTCCGCACCAGACTTGTGGGCCAAGCAGAGGATGAGGACAAGAATGTGTTGGAGACCTAGCTGGTTTGGCTCAATGGATAGAGCATCGGCCTGTGGACTGAAAGGTCCCGGGTTCGATTCCGGTCAAGGGCACATGCCCGGGTTGTGGGCTCGATCCCCAGTAGGGGGCCTGTAGGAGGCAGCCGATCAATGATTCTCTCTCATCATTGATGTTTCTATCTTTCTCTTCCTCTCTGAAATCAATAAAAATATATATTCTTAAAAAAAAAAAAAATACTATCTCGCCCTAACCGGTTTGGCTCAGTGGATAGAGCAGCCGTGGGCAAACTACGGCCCGCGGGCCGGATCCGGCCCGTTTGAAATGAATAAAACTAAAAAAAAAAAGACCGTACCCTTTTATGTAATGATGTTTACTTTGAATTTATATTAGTTCACACAAACACTCCATCCATGCTTTTGTTCCGGCCCTCCGGTCCAGTTTAAGAACCCATTGTGGCCCTCAAGTCAAAAAGTTTGCCCACCCCTGAACTGTTTCTCTCTCATTGATGTTTCTATCTCTCTATCCCTCTCCCTTCCTCTCTGTAAAAAAATCAATAAAATATATATTTTTTTTAAAAAAAACTATCTCTAAGAGGCTGGTTTACAATTATTGGTCAACACTATCCAACTCCATCAATGTAAAGAGGAGAGAAGAGGCTGTCCGGCCGCACCTCCTCCTCTGCTTTCCAGCATTTGGGAGTGCAGACGTCACATGAGCTTGAGCAGAATACACAGCGGCCCCGCACTCACGGCCTTTACGCTCACGGCCTTCAAACGCACACCCTCCTTCCCAAAGCCACTGCTCGGTGCACTCCTGCTCTGTGAGCAAACACCCCTGCCCAGGGACCAAACAGCCCGCTTTTGTTGCCAACCCAAAGGCCAAGGGCCAGGGGCCAGTGCTGGGGAATAAATACACTCTCAGTTTCAAAAATGCAAACGTGTTTTCTCGCTGAAACCAGAAAGGTGGGTGGCATTCTGAGGTTCCTTTATGGGAATTTTCTGGCTTCGGCTGGGGCTTCAATTAACCACTGTCCTCCCTGATGTCTCTGGCGACTACCACACCCTAATTTCCCCTCCTCTGACGCCTGAAGCCGGACACTCAGAACCAGCCAAAGGTCCCCTCTTCACAGCTGAGCGGCCTCCTGATGTATCTTCTCACCCACCGGCTGTTGCACAAGGGGTTAGAGCTGGATCCAAGCCCCCGCTTCACGTCTTACCTGTCTGATGACCCCTACCCAGCTGCTCCTCAGGCTCCTTCCTTTTCTTTTTATTTACTTTCTACTTTTTTTTAAATATATTTTTTATTGATTTCAGAGCGGAAGGGAGAGGGAGAGAGAGATAGAAACATCAATGATGAGAGAAAATCATTGATCTGCTGCCTCCTGAACACCCCCTACTGAGAATCGAGCCCGCAACCCGGGCATATGCCCTGACTGGAAATTGAACTGTGATCTCCTGGTTCATAGGGCCGATGCTTTATCCACTGAGCCTTTTATTGATTTTTTACAGAGAGGAAGAGAGAGGGATAGAGAGTTAGAAACACCGATGAGAAACATCGGTCAGCTGTCTCCTGCACGCCTCCTGCTGGGGATGTGCTAGCAATCCAGGTACATGCCCTTGACCGGAATCGAACCCGGGACCCTTCAGTCCGCAGGCCGAAGCTCTATCTGCTGAGCCAAACTGGTCAGGGCCTTTTTACTTTTTTTAAAATATATTTTTATTGATTTCAGAAAGGAAGGGAGAGGGAGATAGAAATATCAATGATGAGAATCATTGATCAGCTGCCTCCTGCACGCCCCCTACTGGGAATCAAGCCTGAAACCTGGGCATGTGCCCTTGACTGGAATTAAACCCAGGACCCTTCAGTCCACAGGCCGATGCTCTATCC